CGAGTTGAACGTCTTCCCAGCAGGCAACATCGAGTACAGGCCCGAGTGGCAATGAGGATGCCTCTTCTTGGTGAGCAACCCTGGGGGGAGTGGGTGAAGACACTAGAGATACTAGTGTGGAGGGAACTGTACCTCAGCGACACGTACCAGGCACTGCCATGAAGCCATGCTGGTTCTCCCTAAAGCGACCGACCTTGAACCAGACCTGATCCATCTGGTCACCCGGGAATGGGATCTGGAGCAAGATTACGAATACCTGCTCAGCTCCAGTCAGTCCCAACATACCCTGGAGGTACCGCAGGGGAGCAAGGTGGCAGATCCAGGCCTAGAGCCCTTCAGTTGGGAGGACATCATAGAGTGGTCCTGGGAAGACCCCCAGATGGTAGGTGGAGATGGGACTGTGGTCTCTCCACCGACCCTACAGGGATGCTGGGCAGCTGGCACAGATCCCCAACTACAGCCAGAGTTACTGGGAGCAGGGACAGTTGGTCCTACTCCCCAGCGGCAGCCTATCTTACCGGGAGAGGAAACAGTCAGTCTCCTTCCCCAGCGGCTGAATATGTTATTAGTAGAAGAGACAACTGGTCTCCCTCCCCAACATCAATCGGAGGTACCCGAGGTAAGGGACCTCATGGACTGGTCCTGGGAGGACCCTCAAATGGCAGGTGGAGATGGGACCGAGGTCTATCCATCAACCCTACAGGGATGCTGGGCAGCTGGCACAGATCCCCAACTACAGCCAGAGTTACTGTAGGCAGGGACAGTTAGTCCTACTCCCCAGCGGCAGCCTATCTTACCAGCAGACAGTCAGTCTCCCTCCCCAGCAGCAGAGTGAGTTACAGGGAGTGGAGACAGGCGGTGTCCCTCCCCAGCAGTGTGCATCCCAGGGAGCTGAAGAGCTCGTTCTTCCTCCCCAGCGGCAGTTTACCTTTCTGGGAGAGGAGGAAACCGGCTTCTCACCCCAGCGGCAGTGCATCTCACAGGGAGAGGAGACAACTGGTCTCTCTCTCCAGTGGCAGTGCATCTCACAGGGAGAGGAGACAACCGATCTCTCTCCCTTCCGGCAGTGTGCAACACAGGGAGTGGAGACAGAAGGTCTTCCTCCCCAGTGGCAGCTGGATATACCAGAAGAGGAGACATCTGGTCCCTCTCCCCAACTACAGGGGGACAGCACGCCCAACCCCAATGGTGCAGATGGGACCGTGGTCTCTAAACCTGAGCTACAGGGATGCTGGAACTTCGGTCCAGAGCCCCAACACACCACTCCGGAGTACCAGGAGGAGGGGGTAAGTGATTTTTCCCCTCTACAGCCACTCCCAACCAGGCACTGGGGTCAGTAAATCAGACTGAAATCCCCACTGACTCCCTTCCAGCAGAAGATCTGGCCTCAGGGCAGAGCGCTGTGGGCCTCTTCCCTAACTTTCCCCTTGTTAGATGGCAGGACTATGAACCTGTTCCCCCAGGCAGAAGCGCTGGCACCAGGGCAGAGCGCAGTTGGCCTCTGCCCACCAAGGACCTACAGCTCCATGCCTGGGAGTGCAAAGGAGACCAAAAGGACCAGATGTCCCCTTGATCGCTGGGGACATACTGGACAGAGATGGGCTACAGGCGTCACTAGGTCCAGTACTTGCTTGTTGTGGGTGGGTTGCTCGACTAACTCAGGCACCGACCGACAGAAGGTCAGGTACCTGGTTAGTCTCCCCCGAAAAGGGAAGATGTGTGGCGAAAGCAACTTCGCCACTTGTTTTTAGAGAGGATTAATGGCCAGCCTTTTACCCTGTGACTACGGCCCCATTAATTTATTTTGGCTGAGAGACCCTAATTGTGCTATTGGGACATTAAACATTGTTTTTTTTGAACTCCCGAACAATCGAAGAGGCATGGGCTAGAACCGCGAATAGACTTCTGAGGGATTTAGCTGCAAATGCCCTGGAACTATTTTCGTCATGAAAACCTTGCGGTTCCCGATCGGCCCTCCAGCGGCACTTAGTCGCGAATCTATGCAACTGTTTCAGGCATGAAATCCTGGGTTCACCTGAGCAAAAATATGACTTCCATAAAATTTCTGAACCCCTAATCTGAACTGGGTGATTTTTGGATATGTTGTTCACCCAGATCAAGGCAATCAGGGGATGTAAGATTTATGGGGAGATGTTTTGGGGTACTTATGGGACTTTATAAAAATGTTTTTTTTTTTTCTACCTGTGGATAATTAAGTTAATGCATTAACTACCTTAATTATATTTCAGGCAGAGGGGAGGGATTGTTTACTGTATGTGGGAGTGTCGTACTGGTACTGTTTCGATTGGTTTGTATGTTTTGTATTCGGTGCCCAACTAGGTCCACCTGGGCGTCACCTTTGCTGTAAAAACTGTATAAAAACTCAAGCTGTTCCTGATTTTCCCTCAATCTAGAGTCTTGTCTCTTATTGGGGGAAACTGCTACAAGGGATTGCTATGCTCTTCATACTCCCTTGAATAATCACTAGCTCTTGTAAGAGCTGTTCTTGCTTCCCTCTGGAGGAAGAGAGGTTCACCCACTGGAACCTGGAGCCTTGTCATAGGTCCAGGGTGGGTAGGAGAAGGTGAGACCCCAACTAAGCTGCGGCAGTTCGTGGGGTCTGCAGTACTTATGGTGTCTGGAGAAGTGCTTGGAGCCCTCGGTAAGCACAAGGAGCATCTGTCGGCGGAGGTGCCCAACCAGGGTACAGGAAGATCCGTTACACCCCCCTGCCCCCTTCCCTCCTGTGCACTCTTTAGCCCCCAAGCCTCCTATGCCCTCATATAGCCCCCCTCCTCTCCTGTGCACTCTTTAGCCCCCAAGATTCCTGTGCCCTCATGTAGCCCACCTTCCTTCCTGTGCCCTCTTTATTAGCCCCTTCCCTACTCTGCCCTTTTTTGCCCACTCCCCTTTCTGTGCCCTCTTTAGCCCCTTTCCCTCCTGTGCCCTCTTTTGCCCCTCACCCCCCATCCCCTTATGTAGCCCCCTACCCTCCTGTGCTCTTATTTTGGCCCCTCCCCTTCTTGTACTCTCTTAGCCCCCATCCCTCCTGTGCTCTTATGTAGCCCCCTTCTGCGCCATCTTTAGCGCCTTCCCCTCCTGTGCCCTTATGTAGCCCTCCTCTCCCCCTTTCCTGTATGTGCTCACCTTCCAACCCAGCCAGCCTTCCAGCAGCTCTGAGGGCCTTCAGACAGGAAGAGTGTGGCTTAACGAGAGGGGTAGAGCCTACCGCCGCAATGCACCTCTACTCACAGAGTGCCTGGGCGCTGTGCACCCCGTGTACCCGCCCAGGATCAGCTATGTATCTCGGATGAGAGACCCAGTTAAGTATCAAACTTTTCAAAAACATTTTTAACTCCTTCCTTACTGTGGGATTACGCCTGGGAGCTCCTAGCATTATAACCACTCATGACTTTGATTTAATATAGTTGGATAATCTTTCCAAATTATTTAATAATTTTGGATAAACTTTGAAAATATATTTTTTAAACATATTAGAATATCAAAACTATATAATTCATAAAAAAGTTATGAATATTACAAATTGTTTATATTTTTTACAATAATAAATCACCTGCATGATTTACTCTGCCACACTTCTGAATTTCACAATTCAGGAGTGGGGGGAAAGGAGGCCAAAATAACTTGCAAATATCAAGCTACATGAGGATATTGAAAGCTGGTCACAGTGGCCAGCTCCAGGTAACGCACTGTGATTTTGTGTGTATATGTAGCAGGCTCTGGCATTGATAGGACAATTAGGGAGGCTTTGCGGAGGGGGACGGGAGTGTGGAGAAAACTATTACCAGACAGCCAGTGGATGGACGGGTTGGTGGAGAAGCTGCAAGGTGGAGAAAAGCAATTTTTTCAAATTCTCCTCCCCCTACAGGCAGGCTGTCTGGGTTGGCAGACAGTCAAGGTGAAGGAAGAAGAAAGAAGGCCAATATCAGGAGAGCAGGCAATGTCATGTACTTTACAAGCACAATAACCCATCCAGCATAGAATCCTATATGCTTATTCCTCTCCTGAGTGTCTGTCCCAAAGTTTCACAATGGTAAATGTTCTATATTATATTACGTAGTGTTCAAAGGACAAAAGTAATAATTAAAGTAGATTTTTAAAATAATATATTCAATAAATGTTGTCTTTTTATTTTTATTAATACATTTTTGTTCATCTTTTATATTTTTATTGTATTTTTAAAACACACGTATTTAAAAAAAATACCAAAGAATATGGGGGTAGGAGGGGTTGGACCGGGCCTGACAACCAAGATGGCCAGACATGTATTCTGTTAGCTCCTGCCAACTTGAACTAAAATCGTGAAAATACCTAATTTAATCCAGCTGGACACAAACCTGGACCACTTCGGGATCACCTTTACTATCCTCTGCTACACACTAAGCCTGAATTTGGGTGTCGCGATGGAAGCATACTGTACCTCAATCTGCGGCCTACTGAAGCCTATAGTCTGGAGGATGGGGGAGGCGGTCGACCCCCCCAGCCCCGGGCTTAAGCCTGGCACAAAAGCATGTACAGCCCTGTTTCTTCCCCTTGGACCAGTGGGGGAAATCCCAGCCCCCACTGGGTGAACCTGCACCTCTGCAGGGTCAACACGACAGCCCAGAGTGTCGGACGCCCCGCGTGATCACCTAAGATGGCGGACATGCTACAACCTCAACAAGCCCAAGCTGGTCTGGAGGGCCTGTCATGGAAGGTGACCTATGAGGCAAAATTCAAGAGGGTCTGTCAAGCCTTTTGGCTCCACTTGCAAAGCCTTTTGCTCCAGCTCACCTCCCCTGCCGCCCCGAAGAGCCAGCTTGCAATGGAGGCCTCTCGACCTCCCCCCAGGTGTGGGGTCCTACAGGAGCTGAATCCGGCCCAGTTTCCTCAAACCCAGAGGAGCTCCCGGCTTACAGTGGTCAAATGCCAGAGATGATCACGGAGACCTCTCTCTGACACATCTCCCAGACTGGCCCACCACGAAGCAGAGCAGCGCCATGAACAGCAGGGCGAGACCACGCCACAGCGCAGTTGGTGAGCCTATACAGCGGCGCAGAATCCCGAGACACTTTCCGGCTGTGAGGCAAGTACTATTTGGACCACAGCTCATCAAGGAGCATCACCTTGTCCAACACTTAAACCTCGAGGAAGTTCTTAATCAGCAAGCGCTGCCGAAGCCTGTTACTGGGCCCCGAAATCAAGATCAGCCCGCTGAACGAAAAAGGGACTTGGGACTGTCTTCCTGCAGGTTCCAAAGACATCCCCGTGTTGGGGATCGGATAGAGGGGGACTCTCGTGGCTTACATGCATTTAGCCTTGATGATGTTCGCCCATTGGAACTTTACTCAAATGTTATCAGCCTATGTTATGTTAGGTCTTACTGCATGTGTTCTAGATTATATTTAAATATTGTCATTAAGTGCACATACCATGCCAGTTTCAATATATACCTGGCTTGTTAGTACTTCATGTTACACAACACTGCTCATGAAATACTAGCTTGTGTCTAAAGCATTTATGATTAGTGAGTGATCTCCATGTCTGAATATACCTACCTGCCTATAATCTTAGAGCATACCTAATTCTAGGACATGCCAGTTTAACCTGTTTCATATATTATATGTTATTTATCTGCTACCAACCTATATGTCTAGAAAGTCTCGCTAGACGTATGAATCCAGCCTGACTGTATTAAAATATAAAATTAGTGCTATGATCTCACAATGCCACATACATAGTTACATAGTTACATAGTTACATAGTTATATAGCTGAAAAGAGACTTGCGTCCATCAAGCTCAGCCTTCCTCACATTTGTTTTTGCTGTTGATCAAAAAGAAGGCAAAAAACCTAGTCTGAAGCGCTTCCAATTTTGCAACAAACTAGGAAAAAATTCTTTTTTGACCCTAAAATAGCAGTCAGATGTCTCCTTGGATCAAGCAGCTATTACCCCACTAATTAGAAATTATATCCCTGTATGTTATGTTTTTGCAAGTATTTATCCAATTGCAGTTTAAACATCTGTATAGACTCTGACAAAACCACCTCTTCAGGCAAAGAATTCCATATCCTCATTGCTCTTACTGTAAAAAAAAACCTTTTATTTGCCTTAGATGAAATCTCCTTTCTTCAAGCCTAAATGTGTGACCTTGTGTCCTATGTATAGCCCTGTTTATGAATAGATTTCCAGATAATGGTTTGTACTGGCCCCGAATATATTTGTATAATGTTATCATATCCCCTATCATGCGCCATTTTTCCAAACGATTTAAATTTTTAACCTTTCTTCATAACTAAAATGCTCCATTCCTTTTATCAATTTTGTAGCTCGTCTCTGCACTTTTTCTAGTGCCATGATATCTTTCTTTAGAACAGGTGCCCAAAATTGCACAGCATATTCAAGGTGTGGTCTTACCAGCGATTTATAAAGAGGCAAAATTATATTTTCATCTCGAGAATTTATGACCCTGTTTATACATGACAAAACCTTACTGGCCTTAGCAACGGCAGATTGACATTGCATATTGCTGCCTAATTTGTTGTCTATAACAATTCCCAAATCCTTCTCGTGTGTGGTTATCCCTAGTTCAGTACCATTTAGGGTGTAAATTGCTTGTGCATTCTTAACCCTGAAGTGCATAACTTTGCATTTCTCTACGTCAAATTTCATCTGCCATTTTAGTGCCCAGTCCCCCAATCTATCCAAATCCCTTTGCAGCAAGGCAATATCCTGCTCACATTTTATTACTTTACAAAGTTTTGTGTCATCTGCAAACACTGATACATAGCTTTCAATGCCTATTTCAAGATCATTTATAAATATGTTAAATAGAAGCGGTCCCAAAACAGAACCCTGAGGGACACCACTTACCACTTTTGTCCAGCTTGAAAATGTACCATTAATGACAACTCATTGTATTCTATCCTTAAGCCAATGTTCTACCCAAGAACAAGAATATTCATCTAGACCAATTTGTTTTAGTTTGAAGACTAACCTATTGTGAGGAACCGTATCAAATGCCTTGGCAAAATCCCAGTATATCACATCCACTGCAACACCCTGATCTATACTTCTACTTACTTCTTTGTAGAATGCAATTAGTTTAGTTTGACATGACCTATGTTTCATAAAACCATGCTGATTATTGCTAATAACTCAGTTCTTCCCAATTAATTCCTGAATATTATCCCTTAGTGTAGCGTTACTTACCTTAACCGGGGGCCGGTCGCGGTCCTCTCTTCAAGCCGCGCGCGGTCCTGCGGCTGCACGAGCCGCGCGCGGCTCATCCGACTGCTTCAGATGGAAGGCGGGCAGTGACCGCGTGAAGCGGTCACGTGTCTCGCCTGAAACTAAGAGCGCGCCGCGAGTCTCGGGCGCGCTCTTAAAGAGACAGTGGGAGCCTAATTGCCAAAAGGCTCCCATTGGCTCCTGTCATACCGCACTCCCTATACAATTACCTATGGGGGGTGTGGAAGTGACAGGAGCCAATCACTTTGGTTTAAAAGCTATTTAACTTACCTTTTTCCCTTAGCTCGTTGCCCTATCGTGGTTTCTGTTTCAGTTCCCTTTAGCGCTTGTGGTGTTCGGTTGTGTTTTCTCGTATTGACTTTGGCTTCGTATTCTGACTTCGTTTTCGCTTTATCCTTATCTGTACTGTTTGCCGGCTTGCTGTTTTCCGTGTACCAGACCCCGGCTTGTCCTAGTTTACGCTGTCTCTCTGTGCTTTTGACCTCGGTTTGTTCCTGGCTCTGTCTCCTCTCATATACGTCGAGTCCGGCCATTCTAAGGTCCGGTAGACGTATCTCTCCTCTGTATTTGCCTCTGTTTAGCTGGATCCTGCGTGTAGGGGTATTGTCAGGTATACACTATCATTCATACTGCCGCCGGAACCCACTTCCGGGTTCACGGCGCTTAGCCCCGCCCCTTTTCTCTGACGCGGTCCTTCCACGATACTTAGGAAGACCGCGCCAGATTCAAGGGGCTGGATTATTCACGCAGGTACGGCATTGAGATCAGCTGCTCTATTGAATGCTACCGGCTACACTCCTCTCACGACCTCGGCTTGTAACCAGATTTCAACCTTCTCCACTTCTCGACCTCGGCTTGGAAAACGGACTTCTACCTTCTCCACTCCCAGACCTCGGCTTGTAAAAACGGACTTCCTTACTTTCCACTCCTAACGCTCAGCTTATTCATAGAGAGTCATAATCTCTCCTCCATTGGGTGAATTAACCCTTCCAATACCAGAACTTCCTCTAAGTTAAGTAATCCTTTTTCTCCAAGGAAACCAATTCATATTAATTATTTTCACTTCATTCCTCTCTTGTCAATAAGGGATTACTACTAAGTCTTATTCCTCCTGCAAATATCAATTATTCTAATTGCAACCTGTCCAGCTTATTTATCATTATACTAATAAATCATTCCATCTTAATTAAGTTGGAACTAGCATTGCTTTTCTTCCTGCATGTGTATTTAAAGATACAGTCAAGCTTGTTTACTTCAATATAAAGGAGGTGTAATTTATTGTTTCTGCAGTTGAGTTCCAATTAAAGGGATATTACACAAACCCATCACAGAATAATCCAGCCTTTTCAATGGAACCAGCAGATATTAACTCACAAGTTACTGCTCTAACCAATAGAGTGGATACGATTGCTCAAGGGTTACAAGAACTGCAAATCACGAATGAGAGAATATTAACCTATGTCAGAGACATGCAAAACCATCTCCCTCATGCCGCTCTTCAATCGGCTGGTGATCCTGCTGTCTGTAATCCAGAAAAATTTTATGGAGATAGAACAAAGTACAGAGAGTTTTTGAATTCTTGCAAACTACTAATAGCTTTAAAACCTAGATCTTATCCCACCGAAAGATCCAAAGTCTGTTCAGTGATATCTTTTTTAAGAGGTGAACCTATGGCCTGGGCCCATTCCTTTTTGGAAAATGATGATCCCATATTAGATTCATTGGATGAGTTCTTTGAAGCTATGTCTTTATTATATGAAGATCCTTTTAAACAAACTACTGCTGATTTAACCATCAGAACATTACACCAAAAGAATAGACCTGTTGAAGATTATATTGCAGAATTCAAAAGATGGGCTACAGAAACCCAATGGAATGACATTACTTTACGCAATCAATTCCGTCTCGGATTATCTGAAGCTGTGAAAGATGAACTCTCTCGTACAGAACTTCCTCCTACCTTAAATGCATTGATTCAACTGTCCATCAGTATTGATAGACGTCTAAGGGAAAGAAAAGCTGAAAAGGTTCTTACTAATTATACCTGGAGAAAACCTTTCACTACTCTAAAATTACCTGAAAAAATTCCTCCACAAACTGAACCTATGGAAGTAGGTATAATAAAAAGTCCTCTTACTTCTGAAGAAAGAATAAGAAGGAGACAACTAAACTTATGTATGTATTGCGCCTCGAACGAACATCTAATTTCCGAATGTCCTCTACTGAAACATTCAAAAGGTGGTAAGCTTCATTCATCTACCTCTATATTGAACGTTTTTCAAAAAAGAAAAGCATCTACTTATTTTTCTATATCTCTCATATTACAGTGGGATACAAAAAGAATCGTGACTGAGGCCATCATTGATTCTGGTGCTAATGGAACTTTTCTTGATTTTTCTTTTGTTTCAAAAAATAAAATTCCTTGTGTTCAAAAAACCAACTTTATTCCAATCAGGGTTATTGACGGTTCATTTATATCCTCAGGACCCATCAAAAATGAAACAATCCCTCTAAGAATGATTACCAACAACGTACATTTCGAATTCATTACATTTGATATTATTAAATCTCCACTTTATCCCGTCATTCTAGGAATTAATTGGTTAAAAAACCATGATCCTTTAATTAAGTGGTCTCCTTTCTCCATCTCCTTTGCTTCTGATTTCTGTAAAAAAACGTGCTTACAACACATTCCTATTCTCCAAACTACTGTAGAACCAGTTATACCTCCATTCTACTCCGACTTTGCAGATGTCTTTTGTAAAAAAGAAGCAGAAACACTTCCTCCTCATCGGGTATATGATTGCCCAATAGATCTCATACCCGGAGCTCCTATTCCTTATGGTCATATTTATCCACTCTCTGAAAAGGAGTTAGAAATTTTAAAAGAATATCTTAATGAAAATTTACGCAAAGGGTTCATCAGACCCTCGACCTCTCCTGCTGCTTCTAGTATTTTCTTTGTGAAGAATAAAGACCAAACCATCCGTCCTATTATAGATTACAGAGCCTTAAATAAAATAACTATTAAAAATCGTTATCCTCTTCCACTAATAAATGAATTAATTGAAAGGTTAAGAACTGCAACTATATTCACTAAACTCGACCTTCAAGGCGCATATAACCTCATTAGAATAAAACAGGATGATGAATGGAAAACCGCCTTCCGGACAAGATATGGTCTCTACGAATATCTAGTGATGCCTTTCGGGCT